TGGCGCGCCGTTAAGGAAAGAGTCCGCCTGTGAACTTGGCAACGCCTGCCGGGTTGCTAATGCAGCTGGAGAGGCAGTTTGTCACAGAATCCTCAGGCGCAGCGATTTACTTCTGGGCTTGCAGACAGACCGTCTCAAAGATGAGCCGTGTGATTCAATTTTGTTACGTAATGTCGAAGTTCAAAAACATCTCGCTTCTTTTTGTCATTATTTAAAAATAAGGTTACTTTTCACTTAAGAGTGTAGTGGCTTGCACTTTCATTTCTGTATTTATTGCCGGTTGGTTTGCTTTGAGGGCTTGGTTTTTGTGTTGAGCGTAGAAGCCTGCATTGGCCCTGATTCTGCAAGCATTTAAGCGCCTAAAAAATTCGTGGACGCACAACCAGTAATGCTAAAATAGTAACCTGATTTTTCTGTTGCCTTTCTCTTCTGACTCAGTAAGATCGGTATCAAGAGTTAATTATAGTTGAATTTTTGCGAGGTGGCTCTGTAGAGTATATATATACACACACACCAACATGTATGATTGACCCTGGTGTCTTCAAGCAGCTCAGGATGTATGAGCTGCCCCTCCCTGTCTATATCTGGTTTGTCAACCGCTTGCAAAAACTGCTGTGCGACAGAGAGCAGTGGGTCCTGGGCTGACTCCTTTTAAAGAAGGAGGCAAGGGAAGAAGGTTTAGAAGAGTTGAAAGAGGAAAGGGGAACTGAGAGGTAGCCCTTCAAGAAGTAAAGAGACCGCAGTAGTTCCACCCATGTACCAGGAAGTTTAGCATAGCTTCCACAGTGGGCCTAAAACCATTCAGCATCGAGCTGAGGAGTTCAATTAGAATGCTACGGGGGTGGGGTGTTGTCATCTGTAAGTGTCACTGCAGACTAAGCCCTGCTGGCTAGGACTACAAAACACATATTTATGAACTTAAGTTGCAAACTAAATTTTAGAACCAATTCTGTAACTCTCAAAGTTAAATGTAGAAGGACATGAATTAAGTCAAAATTTTAGATAGGTTTCGTGTTCTGCCTACATGGTGTAAATGAAACTAAACTTTAAAAAAAATCTCTTATGAATGACTAATGCCGCGTAGTACAGTTACCCAGCTTCTAAGTGTTTACTTAATTTGCAAACGTAATTAAAACTTTCAATTTCTTCAGGAATCCTTATGAAGAAAAATATAGATTAATTCGGATTGGAAATCCAGCATTTTCTACGAGGCTGTTGCCTGTCAGAGGAGCAGTTGAATGTCTATTTGAGATGGGGTTTCAGGAGGTGAGTGTAATTTAGTAATTTCTGATGTCTTCATCATTTTACACACTAAAACTTAAAATTGGAATTTTTTTTCTCCTTTCCCAGTTGCAAGGCACTAGATTTTAAGACAGTTGCTATTTTCTTAATTTTCTTTCAATCCTTGTTTGCAGTTATCTAACAGAAAATGTAGATGAGGCTGTTTCAGAAATCTGGTGGAGCTAGAGCTAAGCTGATCTGTGATAAGGTTGGTTTTCTGCTGTTCAGATGCACTACTAGTTCACTTAATGGCCAGATACGTATCCGTGCTGGCAGAAAGGAAATGGTGGGAAATGCAGTGAAACCCCCTTCTCTTAGTAGCAGCTCACTATTAGGTGGATGTCAGACTGCATCATCAGACAGTAGTTTCCATATTGTAAATCTCTGTGTTGAAACCGTCATTTGGAAGGGGAAAGAAAAGTCCTGCTCTTCTGCTGCTTGTTCCTACCATCAGTAGGGCTTGTGTGGCCCCATAGTGAGTTAGATGAGGGATGCTGATCTGATTAAAAATTAATCCCCCAAAACAAAACCAAGAAATATTTTTCAGCCAATTCACAGTGCAGCTGCAGAAGTACTAGTGTTGTCATGACAGCAGTGGAGGGCAACAGACTATTGAAGTAGTGGGAGGGTGGGACTTTTACCCACTTAAAACAGTTATGAAACTGTATCCTAAAATAGTGTTGACTGAATCTTGATTCTGTTGCAGTCAAAAAGATATATTTTGAAGATTGCTTTGTGTCCTGAAATGGTCCCTGTCTTGGTAGACCTTAAATTGCCAAAGCTTGTTAAGCTAGAAGCAGCCTTTGTAATTACAGGAGAGCTGGGGTGAAAACCCAACTCTTGTTTAATGGTGCAAAGCTCTTGCTCTAGCTTTGCTTTAATTTGTCTATTTGATGCCACGCTTCTGTATGGGTACATACATTATGTTGTTTAGGTCCAGCTGTCATAAGACCTCTGCCTTCTCTTTGGGTAAAGTTAATTAGTGTAATTGTCCTAATTTAAAAGCATGCTGAAAGAAATGGTGACTGCAGAGGGAGAAATGATCTGCAGATTTATTCTCATGTTGGTGCTCAGGAGATGACTTTTAATGATGTGTTTTAGCCAAGAGGTGGTCAGTGTAGCTAGTGAAGCACTCAAGCAGTAATAACATTGTCATTTTAAACATGTTATAAATTGCTACTCCCACTTCTGTCAGATCTTCAAGAGCATGTTGGCTCAGTCTTATGGTTATTGTGTCAATTGGGGCTGGAGCTCACAAACTTCTCTTCAACTGCGATAACTAAAATTGTTCCTTCTTTTGTCTCTGCTTGGTAAGCCAACTTTTTCAATTAAAAAATGAAGACTTTTCTGCTGGATTGATACATTCCATTTAGTTTTGTGGTGATTGTAAGTGTTAAAGTGAAGCACTGTGTCTGCAATGATAGGTGACCTAAGGTAACTGGATAAACAAATTAGTTTAATAAATAGAAGTGCTGCAGTGGTAGAAACTGAAACTCTTAAAGTATGAATACTTCAGGATATTCCTGTTTTTAGTAACCATTTCTTCATGTTAAGTACACTGATATTTGCTTCTGTCATAATAACTAATCTTTTGTTATGCTACCAGTAATCATGTTACAATCAAAAATAGGAACCCAGAAATCAAGCTGGGTACAGGTCTCAATAAGAATAATATTTCCTGTCTGAAAACTTATAAAACCTAAAAGATATCGGTATAGAAGAGAATTCCCAGCAGATGCTGTTCTAGAGGCTTCTTCCCCCAACATTGGCTATCATCCTGTGTTTCCTAGCGTTTCACTGCTGTATTGTGAGAACTGGGCTTTTGTTGTTCGTTTCTGCTGTTGCTGCTTTCTCTGCCAAACCATAATTGCGTTGTCCATGTGTGGCTCTGCAAAATAAGTTACTAACAAAAGCATGTTGTAACGAGCCCTTTTTCTCTAGACTGACTGTAGGTTCTTGATCTAATAGCTTCTGCTATGAGGGACCTACAAGCTTCTGCTGTAAGGGACCTAATCTGAAGGCTGAATCCTGCCAAGCCTTAGTGTGCTAACTTCCAGTAAAAATGATATAGCTGTTAGCGATAGATACAAACCGCTTACTAGCTTAGACCTCCATTAACTGCTGAATTAATTTGTCTAAATTTCAGGGAGAAACTCACCTGGTTTTCCCTAAGGAAGCTTCGATTGAGCAGCTACGTAAAATCAGAGACTTAATTGCTGGAGAGAGGACTAGCAGACTGAATGAGTCAAATCAAATCCACAGATCAGGATCCTCTGAAACTGTGGCCAGCACTCAGACAGATGCACATCAGCCTTCAAGACCTCTTGACTCTGTTCTTGCCCCTGCCCGTCAGCAACCAGAAACATCACTTGTGCAATCTCTTGAAATGGTAATTATAGCCTGAAAACTTTGTAGGCATGCTAATCTTGAATATAAAGATTGAAGAAGAGTTAACTGTTGCGACAGGTTGCTCAGAGAGGCTGTGTAGTCTCCAAATGTGGGCGTTTTTAAGACCTGACTGGATAAAGCCCAGAGCAACTTGGCCTGACCTCATAACTAACCCTGCTTTGAGCAGGAGGTTGGACTAGAGGAACTTTTTATTTTTCCAATGGTTTCTGAAGTTTTTGAGTGTTTTCTTCGGTCTCCATGCAACTTCAACATGAAACATGCCATAAATAGAATATTAGCAAGAGATTTTGTTGAAGATGTCCATAAATGTTTTATTGATCAGGGTGTCATGGAAAAAAAAGCTGATTTGTATTGAAAGGGAACAGCAAGATGGGGGAACAGAGGGAGGCATGGGAAGCTAAGGCTGGCGCTGCATACTGTGTTTGGTATTTGAGAACCAGCAAAAGAACAGGAGCACAACCGTAATGTTTATAATTGTTGGCGTCTCAGTTCATGCATTATGACCTCTATGTGTAGCCTGTGAGGAGGGCTTTCTTTTTTCACATGCAACTGTTGTGAGAGACAGGAATTTAGCCAGGCAAGTACAAATCTATAGTTATTTAGGCTGTGTTTGCCTTGTCCAAGAGGTTGAGATGAAATTCCCTAGCAAGACAGAGAGGCAGAGTCCTTTCATTTGATATAACCTGGCCTGACGCGAGAAGACTCTTAACACCTCATACAACTTTGAAAAATGAAGTTATGCCTTTTGGTAGGAGGTTTGAAGGATGCTTTGGTTTAACTTTCTAAAGAGATTTTCCCCCTAGGACCAGTGTCACTTTGGTCTTAAAGTTGGTGTAAGATTAATCCTTCTAAAAGCTTGCTTCTCATACATCCTTAATCAGAGTTTGTCTCTTTTAAATGATATTGTCAGTATATTGTTGGATGCTGAACTATGGCATACTATTTATTCCCAATACCTACCGAAGATCAGTGGAAGAGAACTGGCAAAGCATAGATTCATAGATTGAAGTGATGGCTTTTCGGGACAAGAGCACTCAGTGACCCATCATCACCCATAATGTCCTTTGGAAAAGGAACTATTGTAGGTACTTGAATATTGAGCCATTTAATCTAATTATGTTAGCATGCTAGTAGTTGCCTCTAAAATATACTGACTGGGTTTACTTGAATTTTTTGGGGATTTGGGGTGGGATTTTTTTTGGTCTGCTGCTTGGTTTTTACTGTTTCAGCCACTTCTGCAGTGGTGGTTGGAAGTGATTATGAAACCTCTAGAGTGACTTGCTGCAGTACTGGTTGGTACTGCAAGCTTTAAAGCTTTAAAAGTTGCGTTGATCTTGCAGTGAGAAAAATGTTGCAGATTTCAAGTTGACATGATGTAGTCTGAGGTTAATCTTTCTCATCTGTGGTTATTCTGCCCTGACTTATGTCAGCCATTGGCATTGTGGATCCATTTCTCTGCAACTATTATTTTTTTCTATGCTTCTAGAGATTCAACACGGGTAGTGGGACCAAATTTATTACAATTTAGAGACATCGCTAATGCAATGTTGGCACTCTATTAGAATGCTGTATTTCAGCTGATCTCTTCAGGGAATTACACTGATAGCTCTGTGAGCCATTGAATTTGGTCTGTATAGTCTGGGTTGATTGGAAGGACGTCCACAAAATACCTTCTGGCTATGACTTGGCCGTTTTGCTTGCACAGCAGTAGGTGTTTTGTTTTTCAGTGAGTATACTGCAGAGGTATAGTTATATTATTGTTGTATGCGCTGCTGTCAGATGTCAGAGAGATTTAGGGTGGTTTTTGTAGTGCAAGCATTTTTATTTCTTGCTTATGTGTTACACCTGTGATTCATGGGAGTCCTGGTAAGCACAGGGAAAAGTGGGTTACTTGAGACAGTACAGGAGTATTCCTAAATGGCACAGTTCTAGGGGCCTAACCCACTGTTACTTTGCCTCATTTGTCTCTTCTGCATTTCATATCGTAAGGCGTTCTTGAGACTTGGAGAAAGGAAAGCTCTGGCTAGTCATTATTCTGGTGGATGGATTCTGGTCCCTGCCTGGATGACATAGTGATTACAGGAGGAAAGAGGTATCGACACTTAGATTTGCAGTGAGGTTCACCACACTTCTAGATGGTTGCATAAGACTTCATTGGTATACGGTGGCTTCCATGAAACCAGTTAAGCACTACTGTAATACTGATGGTGTTTGCCAGTGGGAAAATCTGAATTGTCAAAGAATCTGGGAGACTTTCTGCTGTGCTGAGCAATATCTCTGAA